TAAATCACTGGCAAAGAGTCAAAAACGCACTTTGAAAATCGACAAATATTCATAAATTTTTGATGACGTCATCGTGAAGTCACTTCGAACTTTGCATACTAGTATGAGTAACTACCTACCCACCAAGTTTCATGACAATTGGACCTTTCCTTATATGAGTTTGGAAAAATCGCATTTTGATGACGTCATGATGACGTCACACATTTTTCAAGATTTGTGCGAATAGCTATTACATAATAGACCAAATGCAAAAAAGAATTTTGCATTTTGCATGTTGCGTTCGGGAGATATGGCTAAAAGGTCCAAAAAAATAAATATTCATATAAAATCTCAGGATGACGTCATCATGACGTCACCTCATTTTTAATCTATAACACATCCTGGTATAGCCACATACCAAGTTTCAACCCAATCGGACTTATATTTCTGTAGATATAAGACTTCACAATATGTACGTAAAGTTTCAAAAATCAATTAAAAAATTAGGTGATGACGTCATCGTGATGTCATAGTCTTGACATAATTTTTGTATGAGGGTCTTCCTTGGCTGTAACTTTGATGACGATTCCAGATCGCCAAGTTATAAAAATGGTGGCTTAAAAACGTGTACAAAGTCAATGGGTTAAAAATCCAACAGCAGAAAAACTGCACCTTTAAATACGTGATTTGCCTTTAAACTGAAACAGTTTTATAAAATATTACTTGATATTCTGACTCTTGGGAATATTTTCAATCGAATGGCAAACGTAAAAAAATACGATTTCTTTTTCCTTCTCATAGTAATTCTCGGCCGAAGTTCAAAACTACTCAGTAAGATATATCAGTGTTGTATAGGAAAAGACTTGTGGAGAAAGCTGTGTACAAAGTCTATGAGAAAAATTAATTATTCATGAATCCATAATAAATCACTTGATGATGACGTCATCATGATGTCATAGTCTTGGCATAATTTTTGTATGAGGGTCTTCCTTGGCTGTAACTTTGATGACGATTCCAGAACGCCAAGTTATGAAAATGGAGGCTTGAAAACGTGTACAAAGTCAATGGGTTAAAAATCCAACAGCAGAAAAACTGCACCTTTAAATACGTGATTTGCCTTTAAACTGAAACATTTTTATAAAATATTACTTGATATTCTGACTCTTGGGAATATTTTCAATCGAATGGCAAACTTAAAAAAATACGATTTCTTTTTCCTTCTCATACTAATTCTCGGCCGAAGTTCAGAACTACTCAGTAAGATATATCAGTGTTCAATAGGGAAAGACTTGTGGAGAAAGCTGTGTACAAAGTCTATGAGAAAAATTAATTATTCATAAGTCCATAATAAATCACTTGATGACGTCACCATGACGTCACTCTTCGGGACACATCTTGGCTATGGGGACTATGCTTATGCCAACTTTCAATGATATCTGACAAAGATTAATGCCAAAAGTGCTATAATACGTCCCTGTCTATGCGCATGCATGAACATAAAATCTGTCAAAGTTTAGCCGAAAATCGGCTAAAACGGTCACTGTGGACAGGATTTGACTTCAGCAGCACGTGCGCTGCAGGCTGACTGACATACGATGTATGTGCCTATGTACAACGTACGTGCATGTACATGTAAATGTTTTGAAGCAGAGGTATTGTCAACGTGAAGTTTTAAGCGTGCGCAGGGTATGTTCGAGTTCGCTTATCGCCTCGAAACTTCAAAATGTTTTAGACCTACCCTTCAATCGACAATTAAAGTAAAAACAAGTATAAAAACTGCCATGGTTGATTTTTCAGGAATTTTCAAATGAAAAAGGGTCTTTTTATTATAACTTCCGGTCTGATGACGTCATTCGCCTTAAACTTCGGACACGTCTTAAGTGGGTCAAGGTCATCATATACACCAATATTTAGGCGATTCCGACAAACTTCGCCACAGACATCTCTTCAAAATACATTTTTGCTAATTTTCAACCTGTCGCTAGAGGGCGGTCGAAGATTGCATGACGTCATTGGTAGATGATTTAAAGAATACTTTTAGCCAAGAGTCTAACACCGTTAAAAGCAAGTTCATTTCTATTACCATTTTCAAATAATAAGCCACTTCCGGTTTGGGCCTTTTTCGACCGGAAGCAAGGGTCACGTGATTGCACGCACACTGAATGAAATAAAGACCTCAATCTACTCTACCACTTGCCGGCAACAGAATGCTGCGGACGCGTACGATTGATTTCTTATGCATTTTTAAATATTAAAAGTGTCGAAATTTAATTGCCTATAAATAAATACAGGATGACGTCATCATGACGTCATCATTCCACAATGTTGTTTGAATTAGGGTCTTTGCTTGGACAAAGAGTGGTGTTAATGAATAACCGGCAAAGAGTCGAAAATGCCCTTTGAAAAGCGACAGTTTGTTTTAAATTTCTGTGTACAAAGTCTATGGGAAAATTAAATATTCAAAAATCTATAATAAATTAGTCGATGACGTCACCATGACGTCAATCTTCGGGACACATCTTTGCTATAGGGACTATGCTTATGCCAACTTTGAATGATGTCTGACAAAGATTAATGCCAAAAGTGGCGTGTAGAAAAAACGTGTACAAAGCCTATGGGCTTTTGGGAAAAAAAGAAGAAGAGGAAGAAGAAGAAGAAGAAGAAGAAGAAGAAGAAAAAGAAAGAAAAAAAATCAGAACAAAAAGAAAGGCTTTTCCGCAACAATGCGGAAAAGCCAAAAATCAGAACAAAAAGAAAGACTTTTCCGCAGTAATGCGGAAAAGCCAAAAATAACAAAAACAAGAGCTGTTTCGGCGTGTACACCGAAACAGCTAAATAGAGGTCTATGTCTGTTTGCAACAGAGCATAGGGCTTTTCCGCATTATGTTTTTTTTAAATTGAGGTCATGTTTTTGGTTTGGTGCAAAACTGTGTGCATTTATGTTTTGTCTAACAAACCTCATTCAAAGGGAAATTTGATTTTGGCATATTACATTTGTGAGATACGGCAAAAGTCTTATATAAAATATATATATATATAATCGCAAGATGACGTCATGATGACGTCAGCTCAATATTTATTTGTAACACATCCCGGCCTGCCCCGAAACCAAGTTTCAACCCAATCTAAATTACTGTTGATGAGATATAGAGGCTTAAAATATATAAACGATGACGTCACATGTCTAATGATGACGTCATTCTAACAATACTTGGCAGTGCTCATTATTTTATTGTGGTTTAAGTCTGTTCCAAGTTTGAAACAATCGGATTAATGAAAGTGTTAAATTTTCGAAGCAGAATAAAATTGGCAATATTAAAAAAATCGTCAAAAATATACTGATGACGTCATCGTGACGTCATTAAAGATGTTGTGTACTAGTGTTATTATCTACCCACCCACCAAGTTTCATGACGATCTGACATTATCTTATGTGTGTTTCAAAAAAGCGCATGTTTGATGACGTCATCATGACGTCACACATTTTTCAAAATTGTGTACATATACCTATTGCCTAACAAACCTAATACAATAAGAATTTTAAATTTAATATATTGGGTTCGTGATATATGGCTTAAAGGTCCAAAACTTCAAAAATCTATATACAATCACACGATGACGTCATGATGACGTCACCTCAATATTTATTTGAAACACATCCCGGCCTACCCCCATACCAAGTTTCAACCCAATCTGAAGTACTGTTCGTGAGATAAAGGGGCTTAAAATATACAAGTTAATGATGATGTCACATGTCTAATGATGACATCATCGTAACAATACTTGGCAGTGCTCATTATTTTATTGTGGTTTTAGTCTGTACCAAGTTTGAAAACAATCGGATTAATAAAAGTGTTAAATTTTGTAACCAGAATAAAATAAGCAATATTAAAAAAATCTTTAAAAATCGACCGATGACGTCATCGTGACGTCATTCGAGAATTTGTGTACTAGTGTTATTATCTACCCACCCACCAAGTTTCATGACGATCGGACATTCCCTTATATGTGTTTAAAAAAAAAAAAAAATCGCATTTTTGCTGACGTCATCATGACGTCACGCATTTTTCCAAATTTTGTGCATATATCTTTTGCCCAGCGAACCTAATACAAAAAGAATTTCGAATTTATCATATTGCGTTAGTGAGATATGACAAAAGTCTTCAAAAATTCAAAATTAAATATAAAATCACATGATGACGTAATGATGACGTCATTTCAAATTTCATCTATAACACTTCCCGGTCTACCCACATGCTGAGTTTCAAGCCAATCGGACATACCGTTCTGTAGATATAGGGCTTTGAAATATGCAACGTTGCGATGACGTCACATGACCCATGATGACGTCATCATTGCGTCTATCTTCGCGAACGACCTGTGCTATATGTTTTGTGACTATGTTAAATTTTGATGTCATATGACTTTGTTTTATGCCAAAAGTGTTTGCTAGAAAAAACATGCACAAAGTCTATGGCATTTTGGTTGGAAGTCCCAAGAGGAAAAAAAAAAAAAATAAATAAAAATTTGTAGAGAAACAAAGGCTTTTCCGCAACTTTGCGGAAAAGCCAAAAAGAAAAAAAAAAAAGAAAAAGAAAAAGAAAGAAAAAAATCTTAACGAAAACAAGAGCTGTTTCGGTGTGTCACCGAAACAGCTAATTAATATTCCACACTTCATTTTATTGCTCTATAGAAATGCGTGTAACTAAGAAGTTTATGTAAGGAACTTAAACTACGAATTTGTAGAATTGTGAAAAACTTTTTGAGGCCTAAAATTTTGGAACTGAAAATACTTATAATTGTCCGATTCCCATTTTCTATATCATTGGAAACTTACTCAATGTCCTTTTCAATGAGCCCCAAATCCCATTTCCAAAGTTAATGCTTGAGGGTCACACATGGATGTACTTCAATTATTTCTATACAACACGAAAGATATGTCTTGATAAAACCGGTGTCCTAATTACATGAACACACATTAATAGTTACTTTGGTTAATTTTTCTCTTGTTACAACCATAGGATGTATATTGAACTCTTGTCTGAACGGCGGGACGTGTCGACCAATTGGATTGTCAGGCTTCAACTGTGAATGTCTGGATGGGTTTGAAGGCACAAGGTGTGAAATAGGTAGGGATTAAAACTCGATCTATAGAATCTCTAATGCAACGTAGAGTTAGTTGATTGGTTTACCATACAGTAAAGAGCCATCCTTTCTCGCTCAATTGAATCTGGTGTCATGGTCTTTCACAGAGCTGATCAATCTCACGGAAAAAAAATCAGCCATCATATCCTCGCCATCCTATCCAAGCAACTACCAGAACAATCTGGACATCCAGTGGGTTATCCAAACAGCGGAGGACTTTAGAATCCTCCTCAGTTTCCTCGCTTTCGACACGCCCTACAATGATTATTTGGAGGTTGGCAACGGCCGCAACTCTACTGACTCCTCCAGTAGGGTGTTCCGTCGGAGTGGGAGTATTCTCCCGCCTGATACGCCCTCAACCGGCAATGCCATGTGGCTAAGGTTCACATCTGGTTCTAGAAGCACCAGCAGTGGTTTTTCTCTATCAGCTCGAAGCGTTGGATCATTTGGTAAGAGCGCGGTGAATGAAGTTAAACAATTTTATAACCACGTCTGACCCTTCAATGCAAAACCAGTCGAAAGTTTCAAGGCCACACGGAAACGCAGTCTACGATAAATACAATATTGATGACATAACTGTAAATACAAATCAGAAGCGAACACACAATGAGATATCATCTATGATAAATAGAATGTTGATCAAATAGTATTAATAACATGAAGACAATTGATAAAATGAATATTCCAAATTTCATTTTATTGCTTTATAGAAATGCGCGTAACTAAGAAGTTTATGTAAGAAACTTAAACTACGAATTTGTAGAATTGTGAAAAACTTTTTGAGGCCTGAAAGTTTGGAACTGAAAATACTTATAACTATCCGATTCCCATTTTCTATATCATTGGAAACTTACTCAATGTCCTTTTCAATGAGCCCAAAATCCCATTTCCAAAAGTTAATGCTTGAGGGTCACACATGGATGTACTTCAAATATTTCTATACAACACGAAAGATATGTCTTGATAAAACCGGTGTCCTAATTACATGAAAACACATTAATAGTTACTTTGGTTAATTTTTCTCTTGTTACAACCATAGGATGTATATTGAACTCTTGTCTGAACGGCGGGACGTGTCGACCAATTGGATTGTCAGGCTTCAACTGTGAATGTCTCAATGGGTTTGAAGGCACAAGGTGTGAAATAGGTAGGGATTAAAACTCGATCTATAGAATCTCTAATGCAACGTAGAGTTAGTTGATTGGTTTACCATACAGTAAAAAGCCATCCTTTCTCGCTCAATTCAATCTGGTGTCACGGTCTTTCACAGAGCTGATCAATCTCACGACAAACAATAATTATTCAGCCATCATATCCTCGCCATCCTATCCAAGCAACTACCAGAACAATCTGGACATCCAGTGGGTTATCCAAACAGCGGAGGACCAGAGAATCCTCCTCAGTTTCCACGCTTTCAACACGCAGTACGACTATGATTATTTGGAGGTTGGCAATGGCCGCAACTCTACTGACTCCTCCACTAGGCTGTTCCGTCGGAGTGGGAGTATTCTCCCGCCTGATACGCCCTCAACCGGCAATGTTTTGTGGCTAAGGTTCATCTGGTTCAAGTAGCACCAGCAGTGGTTTTTCTCTCGATGTATGGAATTTCAAATGCAACGTGAAATCAACTGTCGCAGGTCTACTATTAACAATTACGGGTAAAACCGGCAGATTCGTACTCGTACTCGAACTCGAACTCGAGTACAACTCGAGTACCAATAAGTACATGGCCCGTATTCGATCATAAGTACTCGAAAAAAAAAACAAGTACTCGGCACGTACTCGTAATTTTGTACTCGGACTCGTCCCTTAACTCGACAAATTGTACTCGGGGAACTCATCCCAGTCGCGCAGTACTCGGAAGAAAATTCAGATTTTTTCGATACTAATATTTCGATACTAAACTTTGACCAAAAATTTCACATAGTGTATATGAAAATGATGAAACTTGCGCTGTATTCTTTATCGACTCTAAATCGAGTATTCGTGAATGGGTATTGGCAGCGCTCGCAGTATCGCTGGTGCACATTTTTTTTACTGTCCTATTCCTACTGAATACTACAAGAATACCAGCGAAATAAATCGCAACCTTCTTTCCATGGGCTCCATGAGCGTTCATCACACGAGGCATTTTTTAACTAACAAGGCGCGGAAAGATCTTATCCGTGGGGAAGAGGTTGTGCACATCACTCTTTGTTGGAAACGCGTCACATTCTGTGGCGCATGGCGGCGAGTTTGATCCAGACGTAGACATGTCTTCTTCGTCAGAAATTATATCTTGGGGGTTTAGAGATCACAAGGAATATTTCGCTAACAGACAGAAGCAGCACAGCGCAGTATGCAAGTCATGTGGGCTGCGGATTTCGGAGAAGTCTGGAACAACTTCCAACTTTAATAAGCACCTTCGACGCAAACACCTGTCGTTGTAAGTAACGTGCAAAATTGCAAGCAAGCCTAATCCCATGCCATTGGAGTCGGCATGGTCGGGACTTTTCTCAAATTTGTAAGGGTTTCGTATGAAAATGCTCAAGTTTTTCACTGCTAAAATATTACTTTAAAATGTAGGTTATTGCTTCCTGAGACCTAATAAACCACTTTGGGATACACTAGTTAGGATAGGGAACACAAAATGAAAAGGTACTTACAAGCATTGCAAAACCGACTCTTGTCCTAACCTTCAGAATGAGGATGATCGTCAATAAATCAAGAATTCCAAGCAAAAACATCGTACGTGTTAATTTCTTGGAATACTGGGTAATTACTTTACATATCACATGTAAGTAACGGTGCTAATTTCCATAATGCTTTAGTTTGTACTCGATATCTTTGTACTCGTACTCGGCCCGTACTCGGACTCTGAAAAACTCGAACTCGGATTTTTGGCCCAGGACTCGACTAAAAAGTACTCGGACTCGGCCCGTACTCGTCACTGTGTGTACTCGGAAAACTTGGCACTCGAGTTTTGGTACTCGACTAGTATTAACCGTTCTCCACGGAGCCCTATCTCCGGTCGAACGTCTGATATATCCAGGAACTAATGCAAAATCAGGACTTAAACTATGATTGGTCGATTCGGATATAAAATACAACGACGGCCGAGCGCGCATAGATCTACAAAACCTAGACACGACCGTGATTGGCCAGCTCTATTATTGCCGGCATATTGCGTAACATATCGTTACAGAGCGCGTACCCGCAGACTTTTGCTCAAATAACAGCATGTCTAGATTTATTTATTACTCCAGAGAATCAATCACAGGGGGAAATATATTCAACAGATAATTCAAAAACTGTTCATCTTTTAAACACAAGGTGATAATAATGAGATCATTGACTGCTTCAAGTTGTTGATTTAGTATAGAAGCGAAGATCTGAAATGGGAGACGTTAAACAACTTGTAGGTGGTGACTCATGATAATACAACCTGACTTCAGTAAGAACAATGACAGTAAGAATAATGACTGATCAACACTTTAAGATCTTAAATCGCTCTGAGGTAGACCGAATAAAACATTTTAATTTTTATTTAAAAATAGAAATTATTTACAAATTAACTCAGAGAACAGACGCCTGCTTTTGGAAGCACGCGAGAGCGTCAAAGAAATGGCTACATAAATGCATATATGCAAATTAATAGATATAAGAAGGGGCAACTAATGGGTCCTGACACAACTGAGTGGCTTATTAGTATAAAGCCATGATTTCTCACTCAACTCCATATTGTAATGTTCTACCACAGAGCTGGTTGCGGCAAAGGCCACAATCTACATATCCTCGCCATCCTATCCAAGCAACTACCAGAACAATCTGGACATCCAGTGGGTTATCCAAACAGCGGAGGACTTTAGAATCCTCCTCAGTTTCCTCGCTTTCAACACGCAGTACGATGATTATTTGGAGGTTGGCAACGGCCGCAACCCTACTGACTCCTCCAGTAGGGTGTTCCGTCGGAGTGGGAGCAGTTCCCCGCCTGTTACGTTATCACACAGCAATGTCATGTGGCTAAGGTTCACATCTGGTGGTGCTGGCACCAGAAGTGGGTTTCTCGTATCAGCTGAAAGCGTTGGACCAATAGGTAAGAGCACGGTGTGACAACATTTATAACCACATGTGACCCTCCGGTACAAAACCAGTCAAAAGTTGCAAGCCCACATACGGGGACCCCCTCGTTGAGCCACGCCCACCAGTGAATTGACACAAACTCAACATAAATCACACGCGACAACAAATGTTGGTCTCAGGAAAATAAATTAGACAATTCCTTATCTGGGCAGTCACTATTTGATTTCACAAACCCCAAATAAATTTAGACACAAAAAAATAGTCGCGTTATTAAACAAAAGTAGGGCCACGCCAATTTGGCTATTAACAAAAAACGAAGAGACCCTAATTGTTTCAATATTGAGATTTTGTCTGTGTAGGCCTAAATAATAATTTTGATAAAATAGTGTAAACAAAATGACGAAAATATTCGGAATTTCATTTTTATACATGTAGGTTTATAGAAATGTGCGTAACGGAAGAACTCATTTGGGAAACTTTAACAACGAATTTAAAAATAAATAAACAAATTTTATGCCTGAAGTTTGGGAACTGTAAACCTAAATAACTCTCCGATTCCAAAGATTATTCTATATCATTGGAAACTTACTCAAAGTCCTTTCCAATAAGCCTAAAATCACGGTTTCCAAAAATTGATCCAATTGGTTACATAAACATCAAATAGTTACACAACACGAAAGTTATTTCTCGAAAAAAAATGCGTCCTAGGTCACCAGGCAAAGTAGATTAAGCTCATCACATGTCACCTCTCAAATTAGAAAAAAAGCCCATTAATTGCTATGTGTTTATCTTCAGTTCGTATTGGAGCTACTGTGGCCCATCCCGCTGCACCGACTACCATCCCCGCTGCAACCACTAAAGGTAAGTGGCCTACACAATTGGCGCACTATTCTGTTCGAGTACCATGGCCGGTCCGTCGTTCAAATGAATGCATTCGTTAGTTTTCCATGTGGAAAAAAATATGAAATGTGGTCAAAATGTGTTGAATCTACCAGAGTTTTGTTAAGAAATCATGGGCATGAAGTATAGAATGTCGAAGCAGCCTCAAATTAGGGCACACTGCAATATGCTATACCTTTGACGGAGGTACAGGGTTAATACTATATCCGATTAACATGTATAAGCATTGTGGAACGAGCGATGAAGCGTACGCTACAGTAGATAAGTTCCCTTTGCTCGCAAGTAAACTCCCAGGAATACTGACGAAGCTGCGGTCATTTTGATTTAATACTCTGAAACACTATCGGGTGGATTTGTTTTCAATATTATTCAACCCATAATTATGTTTTCCGAACAGATGAACCATGGCTGCACTAGCTTCGACTGGATGGGCTGTGTGTGCATTCCTCTATTAACTCCTAGCTGTGTACAATTTTAATACGATTAGAGCGTACTAAAAAAGCGTATTTCGAATTTGCATCCAGAGGTGATCAGCCGTCAAATATTCCCGAAGCCCGTCGCCATATTAAAAACTGATATTCAGCTTAATGGCAAAGTCGACAAATTTTGGGGGCCAATTTCACCCAACTTTCAAAGAAATGCAAGCTTGCAGACAGGAGCGCGAACTTGCATTTCTGTGAAAGTTGGATGGAATTTGGCCCTAAAATTGCTGTTAACGAAGATGAAGTAAGCTTTAATTGAGGAGAGTTGTGAAAATTTTCCTGCTTTTTGATAGTGCGTCGGTATGGAACCTATATAGAGAGTTTCAAAACAGTGACTTCCATTTTCCAGGGCCAGACTAGTGGAGGCGCTATTTGTCATAATGACACTTATCTGGCGAGCTGAAAAATCCACTGTCCTCATTTCTGATGACAAATATAAGTCAATCTGCCTGACGGGTTCGTCAAAAGGGGGCACATAAGTAGTCAAGTTATTGTTTGAATAAGCTAAACTATTCAGCTTGACTAATTGTTTGTACGCCCAAATGTTTAGAAACTCTTGTTTTACTTTTCAGTTTAAATGCAAATCTTGTATTGTTTCATCAAACAGTCGTCAAGAAGGGCTGCACGGCTCCACCCAAATTGAACCACGTGACGATAGCCGAAGGGCAAGATCACGTATTTGAACCGGGCGAAGTGGCCACTTTCACGTGTAGTGTTGACTTTGTCGTCAGGGGAACCGACCGTCACTACGCAGAGCGAGTCTGCCAATCAGACGGCTCTTGGTCCAGCAAACCAGTGGAGTGTTCTCCGGTAGATGATCCCAGAGGTACGAGATCAAAACTGACTCAATCCCACAAAACGTATCGCATGACGCCAGCGGTGGAACCGGGGTGGGGCATATGAAAGCATATGATAGCGCTCCAAATAAAATTGTCTCCTCTGTTGTAATGCAAAACTGGCCCTCATAAACCCAACTGCCCCTCTCGCATTAACAAGATTGTGCACCTTCTGCAGATGGACCACTACCCCTCGAAAGCACAAATTAAAATTGTGCCCCTCTCGAGATGGAAAAGTGGCCATCAAGAACAATTGTGCCCCTCTCGTGAAAACTTCTCGGGATTGAAAACTGCCCCTTGAAAGCACATTCAATTATAGTGCCCCGCTCGCAACATTAAAATTTCGCCCCTCTCAATAATGATGGAAAAGAGGCCCCTAACAATAATAGTGCTCTTCACGCGAATATAGTCACTGAACATGGCCATCAGAAGCAACAGTGTCCCTCTTGCAATAAAAAAAAAATGGTCTCTCTATAACTAAGTAAAAACAACACAAAGAGCAAGATTGACAACGTATTCATAAAAGTTCCTCGTCAATCATCATATAGGTATATCGCAAAATGAAAGGGACCATATTCTTTTCCTCCACTTTCACATCGACGGAAGGTGCCCCTTTTTTCTGAACAAGCGCGCCTTTTTGGTGTTGTCCCCTCCCTCCCCCATTTTGAAAAGCGTTCCGCCGCCCCTGATCACATGTCACTAGTTTTACTTTGTCATTGGTCTTTTGACAGAAGCTTAAGGACATCAATCGGAATACACTTTGACTATAATGTGATCTGCATAAACATGCACCCAATAAGATATTCGAGTAAGTTATATGGCAACATGAAGAACAATAATCTTGCTCTGTTTTTTTACTTTGGTGGCTGATAAGCACACTGGGACTGAAATAAACTATTGATTTTTTTTTATTGGAAGCTAATGAGACGTTAGTAGGGAAGGCAGCAGGAGGGGGAGTGGCCGGAGGAGTTCTCTTCGTGGTCATCCTGCTTCTTGGTTTCCTCCTCATCAGAAGAAGGTAAGCTCACTTTCTATATGTCTGCGATATTTCGACACCATTAGGCTAAATCCACTCGAGGAGATACAGTCTACAAGGAAGAAACGTAAAAAAGACAATAATTCTACGTTTTAACAATAATTCTACGTTTTAACTGTTTTAACTGACAATAATTCTACGTTTTAATAAGCAGGGGAAGGAGAACATGCTGGTTAGGAGTTGCAAAATGAGGTAGCACGAGGGACGAAACACGAGATTGATGCTTAGCTGGCATTGGCAGCGTACCAGTCAAGAGCATTATCATGACATGAGATTTTGGCTGGTAACTTATGCTTGCTAAGCACGGCTCTTCTTAATTCTATTGATATTGGCCTCACTTTTACAAGCAAACGTTCCAACTTCCAAATGTGAAACAATTGGGCATTTCAGTCGTGTTAAGCCGAAACGTTCATAGACTTAGGGCCTAATATAAGCCATTTTTTCTTGAGCATATATTGAGCATTTCATGATGAATTTGATCTCGTTTTAGAGATGTCACATGCAATGTCAAGGAGAACAACTTGCAGTAGCAGTGGTAGTCCGTGGGACGAGGCCTTTTTTCCGCTCGCCACGCGGTCTGGTTCGCCGAATTTTATAAAACTTCACAGACATGTAGATTATGGTGTACCATATCGAAAAAACTTTGTTCTTCGATTCAGACTTTGTTTGGGAATGGGAAAATCTAGCATAAAAACGTCGAAAATTCTACATGAGAAAAAAAAAAGAAACAGCGCCCTTTATTGACATAAGTCAGAAACATTTTCTCACGCAATGGCCGTACGAATTCGGGCGGTTTGTTCTTGTCACGAGTATTTTTATTGTTCTCGCACTCGAACGGCGCGGCGGAAACTCGACCCACCAACACTGCACTTAAAATAGGATCTCACACCACCTACATGACCTAAGTATGCCTGAAATTTAAAAAAAAAATTATAATTTGATGCAGCCTCAAAAAGGGAAGCGGGTGGGCCGTTGGGGTTTACTGGTGGTTTTAATGGAATGGATGGAGCAACAACAAAACATGAATCAATTCTTAAAACAATATTCAAAATAATAAAAACGATACTCAGCTGAAACAAAATAAAAGCAGTTGTAATGCTGCAATTCAAAGCTTCCAAATAAGGGAAAATAAGTTCATTTTCTCTTAAAGTGGGTCATTCAATTTGCGATGAGACTTTTCACATGTTAGGCCTATATACAACAATTTATGTAATCGGTCTGTGATGTATACATTTTGTCAGTTGAAAATAAACGAGTCAAATGCTCATTCAGTACAGATTGAACAAACTTATGTCATCTAAATACCATTCTTCTTGTGTGGGTGAAAACTGTGCATGTTTTAATTGCCCCCCACAAAACATAAATACATGAAATAAAATTAGATTATATTAAGTAAATCACGATTTGTATTTCTTTAGGTGATTACTTAAACCACATTGTGCCTGGAATATAAAAAAATTATTTGTAGTTATTGCCGTCTTATTTCCGAGTCATTTTTTTTGTTTATCAAAGTGTAATCAAAAATACAAATCAACCTAAGTACATGTTATGTATGAGAACATGAGATGTAATTTTTGAGTGGTTTTGTAATAAGACGCTTCAACAATCTGATATACATGTATATAATCCCCTTTTAAAATTCTGCGTCACTGCTATTGAAAAGGGAGGAAAGTCTGTTAAAAAAATTTCACTTGTGGATTTTCGACAAATCCCCCCCCCCAAAAAAAAAAGGGCGGGGGCAGAACTGAGAGATGTTACTCTGAGATTCTCAGCTGGGTATACGGTTTAACTATACTAATACATTTTTATGTGGCCAATACATAACATTCGATCATCTCAAGTTGGACAAACTGTAATAAAAAGGGTTTGGCATCGTGATGAGAAATTATAACACAAATCAAGAATATGCATGTGTTATGAAAGTTGAAAGAAGTATAGATTTTCCCGGCTATTTTACCACATTTTCCATTCAAATTCACAAACTCTAACATTCAATTTCGCCCAAGAAAAATTTCACACGCTTTTAACAAAACTAATTAGTCATTTACCATTCAATTTCAAAGTTTGGTCAACCTCCTTAGTCACTGGGTCGAGAATATTCGTCATTACAGATCAAATTCGTTTAAGCTGTTGCGAATGGCAGCATTCAGTGATCGAATTCGTCTCATATACACATAAATCAATTAGACGAATTTAATTTCTGAATGACAAGGTTTGGCGTAGAATGAGACGAAATTGAATACTCGGTGACGAAAACGTGTGTTCATCGTTTGAATTTGCTTGGACTGAATTTGAAATTGTCTGACAACAGACAAAATTAAACATTGGAAATGCACTAAATCGATGTTGATGGACAAATTTGAATATTAGAAATAAACGATAAACGTTTTAAAATAGCAGGGAAAACTTATATTAACTGGCAAGCACTCATTGCGTGCGAAAAGGTTTCTGACTGTGTCAATAGAGGGCGCTATTCCTTACGTTTTTCTCATGCAGAATTTTCGGCGGTTTTATCCCAGATTTTCTCATTCTCAAACAAACTGTGGATCGGGGAACAAAGTTTTTTCGATATTGTACATCATAAACTACATGTCGTTTTGGGGCTCTCGTCCCACGGACTATGGGTGATGAGTTTTCATTTCAAGACAACTATTTTTTTTCATGCATTCATTCGCTTTATAGGTGGAGGAAAAACAACAACCAGAGAACAGTTCGAGCCCCAGGTACAGGTATTGCGCTGATATCTTCTGGCAATACCTACAACGATCCACGCACAGACACAAACCCACCACCGGTACATGAGACTACCATCAGCGGAGCTGCTGCAGCCGCAGATGCAGAGTGTGCGACTGAAAATGAGGTTAACCTGAAGGTTCCTCTGCTGCCTACCCCATCACCCCCAGATGGGCCACCCCCGAGTTACGACTACGTACCAGGAAACTAGCCGGAAGATGGACCGCCGACTTAAACAAAAGTCATGTTACTCCCAAGGGTGGGGTGGGGGAGGCGTGGGGTGTGGGGGGGGGGGCTTGGTAGCAGGCATTCGCAGTGGCGTAACTACGTGGGGGTGGGGGAGGGCAGGGTGGCGCGTGGCCGCGTGCCTCCAAACGGATCTAAGTGTGCCCACCCCCCCTCCAATTTCAAATGTTGAATTGAACAGTAATGCATCATTTGCCTTCAGTGCCCCAGACCTTGTGTCTACCCCAGGTGCCTTTTAGAGTTGAACCCTATATACTTCTCTGAATTTGTCCTGTTTTGTATATACACATTTCCTATTTTTGTGGCGCAAGAAGGGCAACAGGTTAAAATGAACCGTACATATATATTTCGAGAAATTTTGTTTCTTCAAGAAACAATGCACACAAAGCATAGATATACATGCACCTTTAAAAATGTAACAGTGTCTGTTGCTGCTGATATTGGTAATATTATCCCCGGAAATAAAATGTAGGGTGATAAATGTTCGTTTGTTTGAGAAATAATGTCAACACAATTGAGTACAATGGAATACTTGTAGCTGCTTGATAATTACGGCCATATACCTATAGATAGAACTGTAGTTTATATACATGTGCTTGGAGTGAAAGGGATTTAAAGTGTCCCAAAATCAGCAAAGGTTCTTTGCATTCTTAAATCAATTTACTTAGAAATAGCATTATTAAACTATTTCGTTACAAGAAAACTATTTTTAAGTGTATAACAATACAAATAAAATATAAATTTGACATACTTTGTAATTGATAGATGGATTGCTATGTAAAAAAAAAGATTACTGAGCGCTCAAGGAATAAATTTCACCTGAATGCACATAATTTTAGAATGAAATCAGTGATCGAATTTGTATGGAAAAAATAGAGTGCATTGAATCCATTACTTGTCGACTACATTTTTTCAGTGCAGTCTCTACCTTGTGTGAGCCATTTCCCGACACTAGAGAGTGTTGTTGCCAATGTTGTATATTAAAAAAAAAAATACACGTAAGCTGATAATACTTTCACACGTTTCCTTAGTTATTAGTCTTTCATAACTATATTAGGACAATAGTTGGTTTCATATAGTTATATATAACTAATGCTATTTTAACTAATGATGTACACAGAGCTGCACATTGATGTGCATTTGTTTACTTTAGCATGTTTTAAACTTTGTAATAGATACATATAGTTTTACGAAATTTAGGAAGTGGCTTTTAGTTTTACGTTGAAAATTAGATTTACAAAACTATTCAGGAAAATATCAGCTTTCTGAAGCATGTTGTTGAACCTTTCGTTTCTGTTCTGATATTGATCAATCTGAAAAAAATGTATGTAGTAACTAATATGCATTTATGAAGCGGTTAAGACATCTCATGTTATTAAAGGTCCATTATAACGAACGTTTAAAACATATGGTAAGCACGTCTTTCGTTCCTCAAGGCACATCTGTTATATTTACAAAAGTGTTTTTTTTTTCCTTTTAAACCGGTTCCCGAGTTATGAGTTATGTTCATTCTCAGACAAATATCAACATGTAAATGAGAGGTAAAAATTACAACAACATGTAATTTGGATTATTTGTATGTAAAAATATATATTTTATTCTCTGTATAAAACATAATGACCGGCAATACTTTATTACGGCTCTGCTAAAAAATACTCCACTAACATCTTGAAGACGTTCATACCTCATTTCAGTCACATTTTTTGCATAATATTAATATGTTTTCCTTGAATGATGAAACGTACAGATGTATAATTATTGTTTGAAATAGCATACAGGATTATTTGCATTTATCCCAGATGTAAACCTACCGGGAATTATCTTTAAAAGCCTACTTGGATTAGAGGTCGTAAAGGTAATAAAAATTTAAAAACTGCAAAATATCCCGTCTGTCTTGCTGTCATTTACAAGAAATCAAGAAATTTAATGTAGGCGATTTCCAACGATCGGTCAAAATCTTTGGAAATAAACTGTGCTATGGACCAAATATTGTTTCGTGATAAAATTTAAGGCTGTGCATTCTTTTCAATGGTTTCTCGAAGAGAGTAATATCTACAACAGTTAAGGTTAATAACATTCTTCTTTGGATGTGTAGTCGGGTTATTCTGGAAATGAACAGCAAATGAGCCTGGGTCCTTTGTGCCTTCAATCCTTCGGGTCCGGTGACACGAAATATCGGAGAGCTGTTTCAGAGAATATCAATCGCGAGTAGTAACTCAACTGCAAGCTGTGTATATTACACTGATTTTTTTTAACCATCGATACATAATTATAGTGAATATGTTATTCTATATTAAGGTCTTAATATTTCTTGGACCTTTGTCGGAGTACATTCAGCCAAAGACAATGCTGAAAAGGAATGAAAAAAAAAGAGTCTTCCCCCAATAAAAAGTTCAACTTTCAACCGCCATCTAGAGACGGACCTGATGAATTAAAACGGGACACTATTACGACTCCTTTACATAAAGTTAATCTGTGTATGCTTTAATTAAACTGTACTGCATGTCACCATGCCAAGTCAACCAGCAAAATTTAATGTTGTTTTCGAAATTTCCATTCGTCTGTCGCTTTCATCACTTTCTTAAGAATCAAGTTGACATAAATTATTAAAGTTTAATGAAAAGAATAATTTCACAGGGAGTAAAGAGCCATTTATATATTTACACCAAGTATGTTTTTCAACATAATTTTGTCACTTATCTTTTGGATAGCTGCAAATGATATACTCTACTTTTTTGTTGCAAATAATTAAGGCTAATGAACTGAGTTGTCCTGCCCATGACCTGCCTAGGATGCTGTTTCCCACATACATAAAAGACTAGGTGCTTTTATTATTACTAAACTGGCCCCGTGACCGAGACCTTTTATGATTTGTACCTGTTTGTGTGCCCATCCAGCCATATCCAAACTACCTTGCTTGTTGAATATCGGCTTGCGACAACAAGCATACAGTTGATGCAGAGGCCTTTCTTTTGTCATTCAAATGAGACCCACACAAATATGACGTGATTTTGCTTGCTGCCTTAACACGCTTTTCAGTACTGTCACCGTCATCGGTTGCCTCAAGTTCAGGAAGTAAAACCTGTTATTTTTTTCTGAGCACAAATCATCAAAATACGTGTTTTTCAAGATGTGTATGCAATTATATTGTTAGTGTTTATAATCATGGCCATTTCAGGAACCACCGAAGAAGTCTGCATGTGAAAACTTACTGCAGAAACTACAAAGGTAGGTTATAAGTTCTCCCAACTCTATCCATAAAACTGTGACCCTGTTTAAAATCATTATTCGGCCTACAATAAACAGATTGAATTCAAAAGCTGTTCTCTGCCAGAGCTTTCACCAAGGCGTAGTGTACGATGTGCTGTATTAATTTGTAAGTGTCCTTATTATACTGTATGACAAAACGTCTTTCATTACATTGTACCTATATGCAAAGTGTATCAGGAGGATCCCAGCGCAGTTTATACCAAACTGTGCTGGGTGAGCTGCATCTGCAGATCCTGCTCAGTATCAGTTTATTTCATGAAGATTAGGGCAAAATCTGTCGTCAACTTGAAATACATTTACAACTTGTTTACGGGAAGGAAGATGCAACTCGATTGTGGCAAAGTTTTTGTCCATACAAGCACTATGATCCCAGCAACTGACACACCAAACAATCGGTGGATGAAGGGGGCAACGGGGGTCATCCACCTCCCCCCTCCCCACTTACATAACGATTTATTTAATCGTCGTAGTGAGTAAACGTCGGAGGATTTAATTCAATATTTCATTCAAAGAGAATAATGTTTAAATCGCTAGGAAAATAGCAATTGAAACAAAACAAAAATCTATTTTTCGAGATGAAACTCTGAAATTACGGGAAATACATCTTTAAAACTAAATTCATCTTTAAAACTAAATGTATCTTTATTTGAAACAGACAGAATTAGTAGGATTATGTCCTTTCCATTGCCAAATGAAACGTAACACTTAACGGGTCGAAAGATTAAGTGGTATCTGACCACAAGTACGGATGACAAATCCACGCTTTGAAAACTCGATGAACATGGCTAACATTAATAGTTATAGGCAACGTTCATTACAGTCTAGTCATTGTGCTAGGGTCTGCGATGCCACAAAAAAAACCCGAAATTCGTTCATATACCTAGGTTTGGCTCCAGGCCCTAGCTATCCAAATATTTGCTATAAATTGTTTTCTACTGTTGTGATGAGATGAGCCCAATGTTGAAACCTTCTGAATAGATATAGGCTGGAGCCTCAAAGCCGAGGCAATGCCGTGGCTTCAAAAATGGCATCTTTCTCTTTGCATAAAACTAGTTCCTACCAAAAGTGTTTTTTTTTTCAGGGTACCAGTTCTTCGTTTATTCCATTACTGCAGCCACGATCTCCCGAACACATCCACAATGCCACGCCTCTTGGTTCCGGGGGCGTTTGGTTTTCTAACTGGACTTGCGCTCTTGGTTTCGTCATGTACATTCGTAGAAGCAGGTAAGATACACGTGTTCAGTAATCCCGGAGGTCAACCATCACATTTTATGTTTACCCCTCCTATTATTGTTAAAAGAAGTTCATTCATAAATGGGAATCTACTTTAAATTGGTAAATTTTACAAAAAAAAATTATATATAAATAAAAATCGCAGGTTATCATTAGCGCAAAATGAATTGAAGTGAAATAAAATGAGTGTGCATTGTATATACGTCGGGGAGGGCAAAGCCTATATTGATTTACATCACCCCGACGCAAAATCCATCTTATTAATAACTCTAGAATCGTCACTAGTTTTGTTTCCTTGATACATTTTAACAATGAAAACGCCATTTTTGGAATCAAAGGTCAATTGTATGTGGCCAAAGATTAAGTTTTGCCCGCAGGCTGCATCGAGCTGTATACTCCCCAGGGAGCTGAGATGGTATTTGGAATGTTTCATGTGCCCAATGAGCAGGGGTAATAATGATGTAGCGCCTGGAGCACCAGTCCTGGTGGATACGTGCGCTTTATAAATATCCAATTTTATTATTATTATTATTATTAAGCACAATATTGCCTTTATTTGTAAGTCCTTAACACAACCACACATGAGCCTGGTGAGTCAGATGGGCGTATGTTGTTGTCATTTCCTCGCCCTCAGCAGCGTATCCAGCTTTTTGATGTCCGCGCCGAAATGTAGACATGTTTTTTTCTCCAGACACTAGCCCTCCGTAAAATCAAAAAGCGGGGGTGGGGGGGGGGGGGGGGCTGGTACCCATCTTCAAGCTGGGCGCTCTTCAAAACTGACCATTATTATGCATACTATATACCATAAGGACATTATCACGGCGCATTGTAAGGCCAAAAAAAAAAATACTCGGTCTCCGGTCAGCGCGCGCGTCGATTTTAATCATGCGCGTCAACCTTTTTTTTTCTTCAAATTAGCACGGAAGCTACAACAGCGCCCTCTATTGCCGCGCCTCCTCAAATGTTTGTACCAAGGAGCACCAAGGAGTGGGGAAATTGCACCAAGGCAAATGATAAAGGGCACCAAGGCAAATTATGGAGGACACCAATGTATAATGAGGACACAAAAAAGCAAAATAGTACCCACCTTGTCTGTACCTTCCAAACTTGAAAAAAAAAGCCACCACAAAAAAAACCGCGTCGCCGCATCAATTCCGGAACTTCGGTCTGACCAGAGACCGACTATTTTTTGGGGGGGGGGCCTAATGGTTGTTGAGCGGGTTTTCTTTGGTGAGATTGAAGTAAGAAGAACTCTATAAACATTTCTTTAAATCATTGCTGACAAAAAAATTGTCAAAAAAATCCGCCAGCTGCCCATGCTGCCCATGCTGATTTGTGGTTGACCGTCCCATTGGTTTCCTTGACTGAATATCATTCCTGCCACCTAAAACCATGTTCTGAACAAGGATTTACTCTGTGGGTTTCTTCGGCTTGCCAGTCACAATGTCTGGACTAATTTGAAACTCTGTATCTATTATTATTATTACGGAGAGATTGGTGATCAATTGATTCTCAAAGAACAAAACATATCTTTGTTTATTTTTGTACTGATCAATTCTTTTTTTCTCTCTCTCTCTAAAGGGGCCTATGATAAAAATACGTAAAATATGGGAAACTACGCGTAATCTTAATATTCAATTTTAATTGTTAGTCTGTTATTTTTAAAGGAAGGGAAGGAAGAATAACAGTCCAATGTCTTTGTTTTTTTTACTATTTTCTTTTATTTTTTCACCTCTGCGAATAGCTGCCTTTGCGCTGATTGCAGACTTGAACAATGGAACCATCTACAAGGGCAGCCTGGAGCGGAGTCTAGCTGACCTGGCACCCCTACCCCTCAGTGGGGTCACGCGGCCCGTAGCCGTAGACTACGACCCGGTGGATGGCATGGTGTACTGGACCGATCAGGGGCCTGATCCTAAGATCTGCCGAGCACATATGGACGGCAGGAACCAGACCATAGTCGTAAGAGACCTTCACGGTGAGTTTGGCTTACAGGACAACGGCCGGGTGCAACCACGTAAATAGGTCAAATATCCGTCCGCCGAGCTGTTATGTATTCAAATTATGCTGTAGTAGGGAGTTTTGAGAGCCATGGAATTGGGGGACTGAAAACACGTAGGCACAGCAACTCTAGGGGCTTCCAATTCTAAAACATTTTGGATGCAATGGGGTCCGAAAGTCGCGCTATTAGCCATGTTGTGGAGTAATCCTTTTTCAAAATGGCTCCCTTTCTAGTTTGGGAAATACCATTCGTGTAAGGGGTAAGTCTTCTTTGGGTGAGAATTTCTCCAAAAAAAGTCATTAGTCAACTCACCAAAACTTGAAAGGAAAATGAAAGACTTGGTCGATCATGATTTTTCTGTGCAGCGTGATTCCCGAACACCTGTGAGAGTTCATGTATTTGGTTGCACCCCTTTATCGCCTGGAGTGCATCGTGGTGGTTTTTTTTGGCGGGGGGGGGGGGCGTTTACCATCAACTAGAGAAATCATTGAAAAAACGAATGTGCATGTGTACAATTACATCTACATCTTGAAAATCGGTTTTTCGTGTAAAGTAATCGTGGCTGGAAATACGTCCAGCTGCCGTGTAAAATGTACGTAGACATACAAGATTTTGAACGTTTTTAGTACGTAAAGAGCATAAGGTGGATATTCTATTCCCCAAATTGTCCAAATATGTTTAGTAAACAATCCTCATTTCTATGTTGTGGCATGGAGGTAGGAAAACCCTCCAATGACATTGCAATCTGCAGAAATGTGGGCATCAGTCGGCAAATTTGTATTCCTTTGCAAAGGGCACTTAAATTGTACCCCTTGCTGCACGTGATTGTTGTCAGATTGGTTGTAATGTGAATGACGCTGGATTTGTTTTACGAGGGCTCGAAATCACCGAGGAGTTTAAATGTGGTAAGTAGTTTTAACAAATCGTGATTACCCGAAATTCGGGTTAAATTTGACGTAAAACATTTCCGAGTGCAAATTAAATCACACTCTCTTAGTAATTTTCCTGGCCATTTGACATGAGGGGGTATCATTTAGACATACAGGGTGAGTGAATAAAAATTAAAAAAAAACCAAATGGCAGGACCAATTTTTGAATGAAGTTTTGCTTGTAGCACTATCAAAATATAGGATATGAAAGCCCAATCAATGAGCTTTTTGACCCACCCTGTACAAACTAAATTGTTGTTTCGATCTAGAAGAAAATCAGGTCAACCAGAAACAGATTCCGGTCAAATCTGACGTGTGACTTTTACTAAGAGTGTAGGTTACTTGCACACGATTGCCTTCTAATTCTACAAGTGTAGGTAGTAAGATCAAGATTGTCAGTGAGAGAGTATAATATTTACTGAAGGCACGGCATTGATGTTTCCTCAATTCTTCTCACAGAACCAGGTGGACTGGCGCTTGATATTACATCCCGGATGTTATATTGGACGGATGCCTCACTGGCGCACATAGGAAGGGCCCGCATGGACGGTACAGGCAGCAAAGAGATCTTCTTCAGTGAGAGTCATTACAGCCCTAAGGGCATTGTGATCAACCTTGTTCATAGGTGAGTGAACAGTGCAGTGGTGGGTTTGAACGGTCCGGAGACCATTACCAGGTTCGGATGGAAGAGGAGAAGGGATTAATTCTCCATTGGAGACTCTCAATTACATCTTTATTGGTTTATATACAACGGCAAGACAGAATCCTGGCCAACATGGGCGAAGGCGTGCACAAGAGAGAGAGAATCTATTCATCATTTACCAACAATGCATTTCTCAATCTATGGTGAACCCAACACGACATGTAGTCACATGGAATGTTCAGTTACTGGTTATTGTGACAATTACAATACCCAGTGTCGTGACTAGGGTCCAATGTGATGGTGATATACACTGGTCCTGATTTTTTTTTTTTTTTAAAGGGGGCAAACGATGGGTTTGTTCATCGCGTAGTAAACGATATAAATCTATTTTGTTTCTTTTCCGAAAATTGAGCCGGGGATAGTTGAGTGAGGTATATGTATAAGCCGAGAGGGGGAGCCATTAGTAACATTCTGGGAGAAAAAGTAAGCTTACAATTCCGAATAAGTATTTTGGTTTCTAGGTAAGCTTTACTTTTAAAAGTCCACAAGTTGCTCTACCCCAAGAGGCAAAGAGGTATGACAGCTTTTACAGGTGTTTGGCATTTAGTATTGCAGCATATAATTCTTGTACCCCTGAATTTGGCCTTAACCCCAACATTTGTGTTTCCGCTTTGCATTTTCAGGTACATTTTTTGGTCAGACATTGGGGATAATCCTCGGATTGAAAGAGCAGATCTGGACGGACGCAACAGGACAATCATCGTGGAAGGAGGACTTAATTGGCCATCAAGTGTCACCATAGATTTGGCTGGTAAACGAACAAAATCGCATCTACCTGTGTTTGAGGTTGTGTAATAGAGCCATAGTTTGGGGTAATTAGAAATTGTAAACCGAAACTCCTGGGCTGGTTATGGCAACATCTCATGAGAAAAAAGCAATGTCGGAATGGTTAAGGTTGTGACGTATACAAGATCGCGCCTTGGGATTCCACTGCTCGCCAAAGGTTGTGTGTCCTTGGGCTAGCCACTTTATCCTCACTAATACCTCACTCCATCCAGGCGTTTGGGCACTGGTTACAGCCAAGGAGTACTCTTTGACGGAATGGCATTCGGCTTCAGTACGATCCTGATTAGCCAATTGGCTCGCCATATATAGGCAGACTTCACTATTTGTACATCAGTTTAAGATCCAATAATCAGTGGGGTTGCAGCATAACTTGTGGTTTTGAGATTTAAAAAAAGAGCTTAACTTGGATGTACAATGTATGTTTTTCTCCTAGGGAACTCTTTATACTGGATTGATGCCGGGCACGACATTATCGAGACTAGCGATATTTCTGGAAACAACCGAAGAATCGTAGCGAACCTGACCGTCCATTCTGTCACCTATCCCTTCGACTTGGCCGTGTACGCTGACTACGTGTACTGGACCGGCTGGCTCATGTCTCCAACTCTTCTTCGCGCACATCTGGACGGCAGAGACGAGGAGACATTCGGCCCGTCCGTCTTTCAGATGCCCGGCGGAATTCATATCCAAGAGGGTTTGTTCAGTATTTGGTTCAGTTCAGAAAGGAGAGGGGGAATTAAACTTCCTGAGTTGTAAAGAAAACTGAGGATTAATCATATAAGAATAATACCACTTAGCGTCCAGAAATTATTATTCACTCTCGTCATTCACTCAGGCCCTATATCATATTGAGGGTTCATTTTTATTCAATTTCAATGAAAACAAAATTGCGACTGATATTCTTATTTAAAATGCCATTCTCTATTATACCTGCGGGCGTTATTTTCCCAACTGTTCATAAACTTACGTTACGCGCCAACTCAACAACTTGAAAACAAAAATAGTTACAAACAATGGTTTAACCATGAACAATTGCAATCATGGTAATACAAATTTGAGGTACGAACAGCACAACTGTGTCGAAAACTCAAATTACTGATTGGGATTTAAAGGTTATTTTGACAATGTGTACTTGGAGGCTAATAACGTCTGTATTAATGTTCAAATGTTGAACTTTTACGAATTGCACTTAAAGATTTAAAGTACATTAGGTAAGAATAGTTTTTGTTAGTTTTTGTCATTACTGGTCTCTTGAAAACAACAACATCATGGGATTCATTGAGAGCTATCTACAATTCCTTACAATATGTCTGCCTTTTTCATTATTAGTTGAAGCTGACACCACGCCCCCTGTAGTCAGCGGTTGTCCAACCGCAGCTATAGAAGCGACAGTACCCCTGGGCACCACCGCAACAACCGTGACGTGGACTCCGCCCACAGCAACAGACGGCCCCGGGGTACTTGTGACGACCTCGTCTAACTATTCACCGGGACACAGGTTCAACCTCGGCATGACCACTGTGCGATACACATTCGCCGATGTGGCCGGGAACCAGGCGTTCTGTGATTTTGTTGTTTCTGTCATTGGTAAAACTGTAATTTGGTGTGATTTCCTAGCCCCAATATTTCGAGAACGTTTAAAAGCAAAAGGAATAATTATAAACAAACAAGTGCTTTTGTTAATGTTCACCATTGCCTTACCAAAATGCTCAAAGATGCAGCTGCATTTAAGTGTATATTAGGCAATGTACCCTGTACGGCTTAAACATTGTCTTATCGCTCAGTCCAGAAGCTGTATTGTCATTTCTGTTTCTGCTTATGACAAATTTACTGAAGACTCTGAGGTATTTTGAATTGATGCATTTGTCGCATGAAGACATTTTTTTTGCTTAATCAACCCCAGCCATCGACTCGATAAACCCAACGATCAGCTGCCAAGCAGACATCGTGAGGTATGTCCGCAGTAGTAGCCAAAACGTGACGGTGTCGTGGCCATCTCCGACTGCGACCGATGACAGTGGCGTCCAGCCATCTGTCACCTCAAACCCCGACTATCCAACTCCGTCTGGGTCATTCGGAGTAGGCCAACATACCATAACATACACAGCGCGGGATGAAGCAAGAAACGAAGCATCGTGCACGGTCACAATCAATATCGTTGGTAAGTACAACAAACAGATTTATTATCTACTTAATAATATTTACTAATTACATGTACATGTTTCGCCTGCTACTGTAGAATGTTATTACTTGCAGCATACTATGACAATACAATTATACGTATCACTGTACTTTTTCTTATAAATCCCGTAGTGGACACCCAAGCCCCTACTATCACTGGCTGCCATAGGACAACTGCTGTGCTACAACCCGGTAGCAGCAGCGTTGCTGTCTGGTGGACTGAACCAATTGCCATGGATGACAACGGGGTGGTTAATACAACTCAGACCCATGAACCCGGTGATATGTTTACTGAAGGACACACCCAAGTGACTTATACCTTCGCTGATCTGGCCGGCAATCGAGCCTCTTGTACGTTTAACGTCACCGTATCAAGAGGTCAGTACCTTCATTAAAGCCTACAGGGACGCTTGAGGGCGGTTTACCTCCATATCTTACATTCTAGAGGATTAGCGCAGGTTCTGTCCGGGATAATTGGTCATTTCATGGTTGCATTGTTACGCTACCTGGTCGAAGTCTAGCCCAGTGTCACCACGAAGCCTCCCGCTCCTCGCTCCGGGTTGTTCTATTGGACCTTACTGGACGGTTGATGTGAAACGTAGACAGTCGACAATAGCCCAACCATCGTCGACTGGCGTGAGTCCAGAACCCAAGTTCTTGATAGTCCTTGTTTCACAATATGATTCCGAGCTCAGTTTGACCTCACAGTTTTCCCCTTTGTTGCAGATGCATTGCTATGAATTCGTTTTTTCACAGTTGTGCTTGTTTTTCTATATGTGATCGAATCCGACAAAATGAGTATTAAACACTATTGTCAGTTATTAGTTTTATCACATGCAGCAGGGAGAGCATAACCTGCTCTTCATTTTGATATCTCCCTCGGTTCGAAATCTTGAGGAATACCAATATTTTAAGGTTGAAAAGGTTGAGGATTCCTAGTGACTCCTGATACGTGAGATTCTTTTTATAGCTAAGCTTTATAGCTAAGGTGACTTGCGACCCATTTTGTTGGGTTGTGCCACAGTATATGCGCGAGTAACATGGCATTTTTTCCCATGCACAATCTGTCAAAGAATGTTAAGCACGTGGGAGTATATCTTCTTCGAAAAGCTAGTTTTGTATATTTTTTCTTCAAACGTGTACATAATAAACTGTCATTGACGATGCCAATGTGAAAATACATGTCGAATTGAACTGAATTACGGATTTTCTAAGTAACTCTGCAGACTGAATTCTGCATGAAGTTCGAAGAAGTGAGTTTGATTGAAGATATTCTTGCTGTTTATTTCCAAGCTGACGAAACTGACCCTGTGATCAGCTGCTCAGCAGGGATCGTGAGATATGTCCGCAGAAGTAGCCAGCACGTGACGGTGTCGTGGCCATCTCCGACTGCGACCGATGACAGTGGTGTCCAGCCAACTGTCACCTCAACCCCAAACTATCCAACTCAGTCCGGGTCATTCGGAGTAGGCCAGCATTCTGTCACATACACAGCCCAGGATGCTGCAGGCAACGAGGCATCATGCACTGTCGGGATTGATATCACTTGTAAGTTCGTCAAGAGCCAAAAGGAAATTTACATTATTTTTATTAATGATCTTTGAAATGCTGCAAAACGTATTTGCAATTGAAAACAAAAAAGGCTTAGACAATCAACATGCATTTCGAAATTTTGGGAGACTTCGACAAATGCACAGTTGGAGTGCATGTCTTTTTTAAAAGAGATCGAGGTAGCTCCGAGAACAATCAGATATGTGTTAACACGACGTTCAGGATAAATCAGACTGTTAACAAAATAACATGGTGATGATGAACAGCTGAATGTCTACTGCATGTATGAAACGCTAACACAAGGCTGGTATCAATAACCTAAAAGCATATAAGCCTTTAATCGACATTTTTGCTTTCTGTCTCTTTCGTAAAACATTTTGAAGTGGATTCTCAAGCTCCTACTATCACTGGCTGCCCAAACGACATAACTGCCGTCCTACCTCCCGGTAACAGCAGTGTTGCAGTCCAGTGGACTAAGCCAGTAGCTTCTGATGATAATGGTCAGAGCAATGTAACTCAGAACCATCGACCTGGAGATCTATTCACCAGAGGGGACACCGACGTCACATATACCTTCACCGATCAGGCTGGCAATCAAGCTTCCTGCACGTTTACCGTCACTGCTGGTCAGTGCACTTGCTGTTTCATTATAATTACCTGACACTTTAGTCTTGAGGGCGTTTAGCTTACAACATCAATTCCCATCTCGAGGGCTCCAAGCTTTATTACACTTGGAGAAAATTACTTAAATTGATTTAATGTGAGTTTAGAAAATGTGGGAAAGTTGTTTTTTAATGCCAAATTTACTTGATCTTTCCAAATTAATTGATAACACTGTGAATCCTTTTGATACTGAGCCTGGTGACATATTTTTTTCGTTTCTTTTCCCTGAACAATTTAATTGCCCACAACGTTTTAAAAGTCAACCCATTCTTATTGATTCGATATGTTTGACGTTTAACCTTTTGTTTTAATCCTTTCATATTGCCATGATAGAATAAACCATAATTTTTCCCTTGGTACGAACAGTTGCTGGTTGTGTGGTTACACCTGACCAACTCGGTCACCTTGAGGTGGTGTCCGGTCAGAAGACTGTGTATCTTCCAGGCGAGTCAGTGCAGTTTGCATGCCCAGCCGGGTACCAACTCAGCGGATCAGCCAATAGGATTTGTCTGTCGGACTTCTCTTGGTCCGGGGAGCCTGCTGTGTGTCAACCACAAGGTTACAGTGGCTGTTGTAATTTAATATATGGGCCATTTAGGCGTATAGACCACGTGCGCGAACGCGCCGCTACGTCACCTGGGAGCGGTATCCAATGGGAAGGACACCATTATGATATACTAATGTCAGAGGGGGATAAGTCTTGTTCCCAATCTGAATAATTTTAATATTTCGGCCCGCAGGGGTCAGTCTAGTTGTCAAGTTGAATAAGTATTTTGTTTCTCAATTTCTGAACACATAATTTATAAAGCGCACGTATCCCCCGGTTCTGGTGCTCAAGGCGCTGCTGCATTCCTATTACCCTGCTCATTGTGCCAATGAAAAATGCCAAATAGTCATGTATTAACTCAGCTCCCTGGGGGGTAGACAGCTCGATGCTGCCATTTCAGCACAAAGCAGCCATCTCTGTCCTCACGGGTGCCCAATTTACTCCTGGATGGGGAGAATCAATGAGTGACAAAGTGCCTTGCCCAAGGGCACACGCACCATAACCCGTTGGACTGGAACCCACAACCCGCACACTACGATATTCAATGCTCCAGACCACGAGGTCACGGCACTCCATCCACAACACCTACCCATGCACCATAGAAAGCCAATAGATGATCGATGTTAAACAACGTCCTGCTCGCTTTCGCCGTTGAGGGAGCACATGTGATGGTGCCGTAATTCGCGTGAGCACACTGGCTGGCTTTAATGGTGCTCATTATTTCACTCTAGTCCATCACGATATAACAAACATACAGAGGCATTAAGTCTTAAGTGTTATTGTGGCCACATTGAAAAAGCGTGAATTGATATAAATTTCATTGATTTGATTCGTTCCAGGCTCTTAGAATCTAGTGGCTCGTGTCTCACTGTTTTATTTTGCAATTTAACCCCAAATCTTGTATTATTTTATCGAACAGTCGTTGACACGACCTGCACAGCTCCACCCACACTTAAGCACGTGACGGTAGCCGAAGGGCAAGATCACGTATTTAAACCAGGCGAGCTGGCAACTTTCACGTGCAGTGATGACTTTGTCGTCACTGGAACCGACCGTCACTACGCGCAGCGAGTCTGCCAATCAGACGGCTCTTGGTCCAGCAAACCGGTTGAGTGTTCTCCGGTAGATGATGGTACGACATCATAATGTGACTCAATCTATTATGTCGCCAGTGTTTCTTTTGAGTCATTGGTCTTTTAACAGAATCAAACAAAATATATCGGCAGGAAAACATTATCAATTTATGCAGTTATTTCATAATGGTGTCCAATTAAGTGATATAATAAAATGAAGAGCCTTGTTTGTTCTTATTTGGTGGTTGATTAGCCCATTAAAAGGCTCAAAATGTCGACTGAGAGAAAGTTTTGGATTTGTTTGTTTCATGTTAACGACACGTCAGTGGGGAAGGTTGCTGTAGGAGCAGCGGCTGGAGGAGTTGTCTGCGTGGTGATCTTTCTTCTTGTTTTCCTCATCATCAGAAGGTGAGCTATATTTTTTAGATTGTTTGTGTGATACGCAAACTTATAAGCTAATCCCACTCCATGTGACATCATTATACAAGAAAAGAATGTAAGAAAAGAGAATTTGCGTACATTTAACGCATTTTCTGTGACATGTATTATAAGAAGGGGAAAAAGAAAATTTCGGTTATGAGTTCGAGCATGAGCATGAGCTACGAAACTTGTGAAATTACCATTTGACGGATGTGTCTATAGTCGTTTCTTTGCAAGAACCTAATTGGCTTTCATGCATTCATTCGCTTTAGGTGGAAGAAAAACAACAACCGGAGAACTGGGCGGGCCCCTGATATAGCGCTGATACCTTCTGTCAACACCTACAACGATACACACGCATACGAAATTCCCGCACCAGTGTATGAGACTACCATCGGCGGAGCTGCTGCAGCGGCAGGTGCAGCGGGTGCGACTGAATATGAGGTTAATCTGAAGGTTCCACTGCCGCCTACCCCACCACCCCCCAATGGGCCGCCCCCGAGTTACGACTACGTACCCGGAAACTGGCCGGGAAATCGACCGCCAACCTATATGGAAGTCAAGTAACTCACAAGGGGCGGATCCAGGTGTGGTCAAGAAGGGGGGGGGTAGCCATCGCTCCCAATGGGTTACTGTATTAGGATGTCACAAGGTCGGCTTCGTTTTTATCATTTGATCATTGACGTCAACATGATTCTTAAGAAAGTGATGAAGACGAACCAACCGAGATTTCGAAAACAACACTTGCTGGTTGACTTGGCATGGTGACATGCAGTACAGTTTAAGGATGGTCTGATGGTCTGATTGGCTGAATATACTCCGGCAAAGGTGTCTTCAAGAAATATTAAAACCTTAATTTAGAATAATGTATTCACTATAATTATGTATCGCTGGTTCTAAAAGAAAATCAGCGTTATAAATTCAGCTTGCAATTTAATTACTCAGGATTGACGCAAGTTGCAAAGGTTGGTGGCGTTGCGCGTTGTGGTTTTTCAAGGCCGTTTTTCTCAAAAAGTGTATTCGACCGACCAAACAACCTGTGTCCTCTTTCTTGCGTCGTATTGGGAGTGAGTTCTGGTGCATGAATACATTTGGTATCATTTAAAAGCTTATGAAATTCCTCTGTATTATTGTGCATATAGTTATCTCAAAAAGTCAGAGTTGGGGGTTACTCCTCATTATGCCACAGCAGTCCACATATTCTCTTCAACAGCTCTGGGATATTTCGTGTAACCGGACCAGGTACTGGGCACAAAGGTCCCAGTATCATTTGCTGTTCAAGCATTTTTCATGACTAGTATAATAACCCGACTTCAAATCAAACGAAGATTGTTGAAAACCTTACCTGTTGTGGTTTCATGAATATTACACTAACATTGGAAAACGTGCACAGCTGTAAATGTAATCACGAAACATGATTTCGTCCATAGAACTCTTTATTTCCAAAGATCAGTCATTTGACCGATCGTTGGAAATCACCTACATTTGACTTCTTCTAAATGACAGCAAAACAGACGGGAAAATGTGAGGGTTTTCTGTTAACAGTGGAGCTTCAATCCAAGTAGGCTTTTGATAATTCCCGGTAGATTTACTTTGGGGATAACTGCAAATGATCCTTTATGCTATTTTTAAGAAAATCATCTGTACCTTTCATTATTCACGGAAAAAACATTAATGTTATGCAAAACATTATGTGACTGAAAGAACGTATGAGCGTCTTTAAGATGTTGTGAAGGTTCTTTTTAAGTGTCATTATGTTATTCAAGTACTCAGTACTGTAGCAGTTGGTTGTAATTTTTTTTAATTAATTTCTATGACTAAATTAATACACAGAATGAAATATAATGAAATATATACATTAATAATCCAAATTGCTGTTTTGGTGTAGTTGTAATGTTTATCTCTCATTTACTATGTCGATATTTCTCTGAGAATGAACATAACTCATAATCGGTAACCAGTGTAAAAGGGGGAAAAAAACACTTGTGTAAACTTAACAGATGTGCCTTGAGGAACGAGAGACATGCTTACCATTTTAGAAACGTTCATTATAATGGACGGAAAGAGAGGTTCAACAACATGCTACAGAAAGCCGCTATTATTCTGAATAGCTTCGTAAATTCATATCTAGATTTGAATGTAAAAGCCGCTTCCTATTTCGTAAAAATATATGTATCCATTGTAAAGTTAACAAACATACATCAATGTGCAGCTTTTGCCAATGTGCAACTATTGCCAATATAATATAGCTTTGAAAGGACTAAAAACAAAGAAAACATGTGTATGAAATTATTATCAGCTTACGTGTATTTTCTTTTGAAATATACAACATTGGCAGCAACACTCTCTAGTTTGGGAAAATTGCTCAAGTCAGGAACAATACGTCGAACATTTGAGTCAAAATGAGTAAAAACCAAAAAAAACCTCGCAATAAATCGATTATTTTTGCCGAAATCTTCGAAATATTGGCAGTCTGAATATTGTATGATACTCTCCTTGCATCAAAAGTCATTTCTGCGTCGTTTTGGGAAAAAACTCTTTGGACCAAATTTGATGAAAAATGTAAGGCTAACCCCTTGCAATTTTTGCAACTTTGGCCAAAAATTTAAACTGCACCAAACTTCCAGGAAAGATGCCTAGGGGACCCTAGAAGACATTCCAACTCGATTATTATTGCCCAAATCTTCGAAATATTGGCAGTCTCAATATTGTATGATTCTCTCCTTGCATCAAAAGTCATTTCTGCGTCGTTTGGAGAAAAGTCTCTTTTTTTACCAAATTTGATGAAAAATGTAAGGCTAATCCCTTGCAATTTTTTGAATTTGGGCCCAAATTTTAAATTGAACCGAAGATGCCAAAAGGAACATAGAAGACTTTCCAACCCGATTTACGGACGGATGTGCCGATAGACAGGCACAATGCGTTGAAAATTTGGGTCAAAATCAGTGAAATATCAGATTTTGTTTCTCAATAAATCAATTATTTGTGCTCAAATCTTCGAAATAATGGCAGTCTGAACATTGTATGATACTCTCCTGGCATCAAAATCATTTCTGCGTCGTTTGGAGAAACGACATTTTTTGACCAAATTTGATGAAAAATGTAAGGCTAACCCCTTGCATTTTTTTCAATTTCGGCCAAAAATTTAAAGTGCACCAAACTTCCAGGAAAGATGCCCGAGGGACCCTAACAGATATTCCAACTCGATTTCTGAGCTGATGTGCCGTAAGATTGCAGGAACAATGCGTCGAAAATTGGGTCAAAATCAGTAAAATAAAATCAAACTTTTTTCTCGATAAATCGAATTGCCCAAATCTTCGTAATAATGAGTGTCTGAATAATGTATGATGCTCTCTATGCATCAAAAATGTATTTCTGCGTCGTTTGGAGAAAAGTTATTTTGTGACCAAATTTGATGAAAAAGTAAGGCTGACCCCTTGCAAAAAAAATTAAATTACGCCAAACTTCAAGGAAAGATGCCTTATGGACCCTAAAAGACATTCCACATCGATGTTTGGGCTGACGTGCCGATAGACAGGAACAATGTGTCGAAAATTTGGGTCAAAATCAGTGAAAAATCTGATTTTGTTTCTCAATAAATCAATCATTTGTGCTCAAATCTTCGAAACAATGGCAGTCTGAATATTGAATGATACTCTCTTTGCATCAAAAGTCATTGCTGCGTCGTTTGGAAAAAATCATTTCTTGGCCAAATTTGATGAAAAAGTAAGGCTAACCCCCTGAATTTTTTTTCAATTTCGGCCAAAAATTTAAAGTGCACCAAACTTCCAGGAAAGATGCCCGAGGGACCCTTAAAGTTATTCCAACTTGATTTCTGAGCTGATGTGCCGTAAGATTGCAGGAACAATGCGTTAAAATTTGGGTCGAAATCAGTAAACAATCCAACTTTTTTCTCAATAAATCGATTTTTTGCCCAAATCTTCGAAATATTGGCAGTCTGAATATTGTATGATACTCTCCTTGCATCAAAAGTCATTTCTGCGTCGTTTGGAGAAAAGTTATTTTGTGACCAAATTTGATGAAAAAGTAAGGCTGACCCTTTGCAATTTTTTGAATTTTGGCCAAAAAAGTAAATTGCGCCAAACTTCCAGGAATGATGCCTGAGGGACCCTAGAAGACATTTTATCTCGATTTTTGGGCTGATGTGCTGTAAGACATGAACTATGTGTCGAACATTTGGGTCAAAAGCAGTAAAAAATCTTACTTCTTTCTCAATAAATCTATTATTTTTGCCCAAATCTTCGAAATATTGGCAGTCTGAATATTGTATGATACTCTCCTCGCATCAAAAGTCATTTCTGCGTCTTTGGAGAAAAGTCCTTTGTTTTTGCCAAGTTTGATGAAAAATGTAAGGCTAACCCCTTGAAATGTTTTCAATTTTGGCAAAAAATTAAATTGCGCCAAACTTCCAGGAAACATGCCTAAGGGACCCTAGAAGACATTCCAACTCGATTTCTGGGCTGATGTGCCGTAAGTCAGGAACACTGCGTTGAAAATTTGTGTCAAAATCAGTAAAAAATCAAACTTTTGACTATGTTTTTCCAAATATTCAAAATAATGACAGAGTTTGAATATGGTATGATACTCTCTTTGCATCAAATAATCATTTCTACGTCGTTGGACACAAGTCATTTTTCAGCCAAATTTGACAAAAATTGTAAGGCAAATCATAACTGATTTTTTACTGATTTTGACCCAAATTTTCGACGCATAGTTCCTGTCTATCGGCATATTTGTCCGTAACTTTTTTTTTTCATTTTTTGCCAAAAACTCAAATTGTGCCAAACTTCCAGGAAAGATGCCTAAAGGACCCTAGAAGACATTTCAACTCGATTTACAGACAGATGTGCCGATAGACAGGAACAATGCATCGAAAATTTGGGTCAAAATTGGTGATAATTCAAATTCTTTTCCTCAATCAATTACTCGATTACGCTTCAAAATTTTCCAAACAATGTGATCGGTCTAGGCCAAGTTCGGGCAAGGACCATTAGTCGACTAGTGGTTGATTTGTGACGTACCTTACGCCTGCGCACTGGTAGCAACGTGCGAACGTCTCTAGTCAAACGCCGGTCAAAATGTCATCGCAAAACTTCTGGATCCTGGCTCTCTGCTAGCGTTATGAATGCGCGCGGCTATTGGTTACCAGCGGAGCAACCAACCCCAGTAGGCTGGTTCCCAATAGTCTACTAGCGTAGTCAACCATTGTGGACTAGACAGAGTTCGGGCAAACGTTAGTTAACCATTGGTCAACTATAGTCCTTGCGCGAACTTGGCCCTAGTTGTTATAAGTGCCAGTGTACAAATAAATGTATTCACAAATCTCCCATGCAATAGTAAATGTGCATGTTAATATCACAATTGTATTTAATAACCGCTACCGTAAAATGCATTTTACTTAACTACAAGCGTTTTATTTCAACAGAGATTGATCTATCATTTCAGAAAGGAAAGGTTCAACGACACGCTATAGTAAACCCCTGGTACCCTTACTAATTTTGTAAATGTATATATCACGTTTTGTGTAAAGGGGAAAAAAAAAAAAAAGCTTCCCATATATTTCGTTAAGGCCAAACAAAAAAAATGGTGTGTTTACGGTAACGGCCTGAAAAAAATCCAGGTAGGTAGGTAGGGAAATAATCTTATTTTGTAATTTTTTTTTTCATTTCAGTTCTGCATGCCCATGCGTGTTCTTTTGCAAAAAAATTTTATAAAACCACTATTCAAGCATTGAAGATATTCAATCGATTCATTTCAATCCAAATTAATTTGTATCGTCAGGCGTCCGTCGGGCAGCCAGGCGTACCCCGATGCGTTTGTGCAAAAATAATCGTACTTCGTAGTTTGAGAATTCAAGTTTTCAGATCGTCACGATTTACGCACGTTTAACACAGGTATGTTTGTGTCAAATCATGGTCAGATTCAAGTGTGGAAAATGTTTTTTGTTCGTGGCAAATAATTAAAAGTACTTGAAATGTTTGAAGTTTGTCAATTATCAACCTTCAAAATGGCAATAAAAAGTTTGAGGTCGGCAATTGGGCCGAAAAAATTCCAGGTCGGTCGGGATACCGTAAACACACCATTTTTTTGTTTGGCCTAAAAATAAATTTATCTATAATTGTTAAGTTTAAAAGACGAAAGCACATGCCCATCAACATACATCACTGTGCATATTACCTACAAAAATATAGTTTGGAAAGACTAATAATAACAAAGAGAGCAACACGCATGACACTACATGTATTATATAATAAGCTTAATGTGTAATTTTGTAAGTTATACACTGGCATTAGCGCCCTCTTGTGTCGGGAATTGGCACACACAATATAACTCAGTCGACAAACTTAGTAATGAATTCAATGCACTCGTTTTCATAGATTTTTGATCATTGATTTCATAAAATGTGTTTTCATGTAAAATTAATTCCTTGAGCACCTAGTAGGTTGAAATAAATCTAGGCTCATACTCGGCCACACGCGAGACTGGCAAATCTGGTCTTATACATGTCAGGTTAAGGACTGCTTAGCTTCTGAAATTAAACATTTATTCAAGTCAAAATCTTCCATACAATGTGATCGGTCTAGTTCTCATAATTGCTAGAGGTTTTACTAGAGTAGAATATACTGCCAATTTGCATGAGGCATATATAATTAATTTTTCTTTGATAGTTTTCCAAAAATAAATGTTTTTTCTTATCACAAAATAGGTTAATTTGTTTATATTTCTGAGAGAATTGATTTAATAAAAATTGCCGTAGCACACTTTAGGCCTACATCCCTTTCACTCAAAACAACACATGAACAAGTACAGTACACATATAATGATATACATGTACATTATGCGGGCCACAATTACGAAGCAACTATGATTTTTCCATTTTCTTTGCAGTAAATTTAGGGTTCTATCATATCTATTTAACTTATTTTTTATTTTAGTTTTTTTATGACTTTATAATGTCATGAATGTATTTCAGTGCATTTTTATTTTTTAAGATCTGATTGTTTTTGTTTATGAATTGATTATTTGAGTTTATTTTAAGAAATTTTATGGAAAGTGCATTTGAATATATTTTTTTATAAAATTTGCACTATACAAATTAGTAAATTATTATAAAATAATTATTCAATTGGGTTGATACTTCTCAAATAACTCATACATGAACATTTCAGAAAGACATGTGAAGAATCCCATCTTCCTACTTGCCCTGCATTGTATTTCAGGTGCTACACGTATATTGCCAGCAACAGCAGAAACTAATACTCACACATTTTTAAAGGTGTATCTATATGCTATATTCTACATGATTTAAGCACTAAGGTGTCAGTCCCTTAGTATCTGTGATGATAAGTTACGGTTGCAAGCGCTTGGCATACAACTTTTCATAAACTAACCTTGCCGCCTCGATCATGTCTAAAATTGGCTGGGGACAATCGGTCAGATCGGGGGGGTTTGGGTTAGGTGGGAGCCAGCAGCTGCTCTTAAGCGCATCTTCATATGCTCCATTTGCCTTGTTGAATGCCAGCAGGGACTTGGGGTTGTGCCAAGGAATTTCCGTAATGGGATCCCACGTGAGCAGGGATTCACAAAACGGAAGATCCACGGCGTCGCAGTAGGCACGCAGCATCTTTTCTGGGTGGCGGCGGATGTCGTCCGCATCCAGCAATACCACCCTCTGTTGCAGCGTGCCCTCCACGTGCTCCAGCAGGTCCAGCAGGTGCTCGTACCCCATGGTCTTCCCAAACACTTGCGACATCTGCAAGTACTGCTCCACGGACATGCCGCCCCTCAGCCCCATCTTGAGAGAAGACGGCACCGCACGAGACGGATCTCGTATCAGGAATGTGTGATGGAAACCTGCCGGGAGTCGCTCATACTTCTTGTCCAGGGAGATGGCGTGGTCCTTCATGAAGACCAGATCACGATCAGGGTAAGCGGCTTCCAGCTGGCTTTTGACCATGTTAAATGTCAGGTGTTCTTCAACTGGTAACGGCATGGGCATCTTCCTTTCAGGACCAAAGGCAAACGCTCCTCCGAACATCTCATTGAAGACTTCCACATTGCCATAGTTACCGAAGCTCATCACCATGGCAGTGGACAAGGATCTTGGATGTGACCACAAGGCCACGCGCTTGGGTTTCATCGCAGAGATTTATTCTCCCTGGTGTTTAACTTTTCGGAACAAGCTTAGCTGAATGTCCTGAAGACCTGAACTACTGAAAAAAAATAGTAAAGCAAGGGCATTACAATTAGAAACAGTTATGGTTGTTCATTTCAGTGATATTAAACACATGCAACATTACATGTCCTATTGTATATCTTAAATTTATTGCCTCACCAATGACATGAATCAATGTCATCGCATTTTTCTATTAACCTTTCAATAGAAGTGGGTAGGCTACGTGTCTTTTAAAAAATGTGAACCTTTTCAATGAACTATTGACAAAATATTTTTGCTCCAAGTTTCCCTTTGTGGATTATTTGAAAATGTGCAATTCCAATAACATGAATAAACATGAAGTTATTGAACGTTGGAGAACGTATAACACCACATGCAGTGAGTGTGAATTATAAAATGTTGTTGGATGAAGTCTTATCATACTTCACAGCAAGGGCGGATCCAGAACACAATTTTCCCGAAAAAAGTGGGGCCCAAAAATGGGGCCCGCTGCCCTTTATAAGGGCCCCAAAAAATGTTTGGATTCCAGTAGCCCCATAAATGTGGCCTATTTACTGGACTGCCTCCGTAAACATAGGCCACACATCCACATGTACAAAAACGTGTCGATTTTGCCAAATTTTGATTTTCACATTTAGGCTTACTTTGTAGGTTTTTTTTGCTTTAGAAGCATTCTCACCCTCTATATAGGCTAATCAGAAAGTGCTGCCTTTTTCAGATGTCCATTTTTCGTGAAATTTCCAGATACATTTGCACACGTTTGCGTATCAAAATTCAACATGAAATTTCACAAATATTAGACATCTGAAAAAGGCAGCACTTTCTGATTAGCCTATATAGAGGGTTAGAATGCTTCTAAAGCCAAAAAAACCTACAAAGGAAGCCTAAATGTGAAAATCCAAATTTGGCAAAATCGACACGTTTTTGTACATGTGGATGTGTGGCCTATGTTTACGGAGGCAGTCCAGTAAATAGGCCACATTCATGGGGCTAGGATTCCAGATGCTCTGTGGAGCGATCCGGGGCCATTTCTGATCACTTTAACCAAATCTTTTGATTGTGGTGTATGCAGTGACTGCCTTTATTGTGTCGCCACTTAACGACGCCATCTACAAAAAAAAATTGGTTTCTTTGGGGGGGGGGGGGGATTGCCCCCGTTGCCCCCCCCCCCCCCCCCCCAGATCTGCCCTTGCTTCATAGTAGACCATGGATAAGTAGTCATATTCGCTTAGATACAGGTACTATGTGGGTCCAACGTTTGCCATGTATGTTGAAAGGGTGTTGATTCAATTAGTATTTGACCCACCATGACTTACAAATCATGTGCAATTGTAACGAACGTGACCTACAACAATCCACATGACATGCATGACCCTAGCCCCATAAATGTGGCCTATTTACTGGACTGCCTCCGTAAACATAGGCCACACATCCACATGTACAAAAACGTGTCGACTTTGCCAAATTTTGATTTTCACATTTAGGCTTAGTTTGAAGGGTTTTTGCTTTAGAAGCATACTCACCCTCTTTATAGGCTAATCAGAAAGTGCTGCCTTTTTCAGATGAATACTTTTCGTGAAATTTCCAGATTCATTTTTACATGTTTTCGTATCAAAATTTCAACATGAAATTTCACCAAAAATATACATCTGAAAAAGGCAGCACTTTCTGATTAGCCTATAAAGAGGGTGAGTATGCTTCTAAAGCAAAAAAACCCTTCAAACTAAGCCTAAATGTGAAACAGCTTGGTTGGGATGGACGTTTTTGTACTTAATTAGTGTTTTGTGCCGACAACAATTTTGCGGGGTTCTGAACCTATGAGGCTCCACTACGTGGAGCCTCATAGTTCTAGGAGTAAGCATGACCCACAAACAAATTGCACATCATAGGCTAGCCCCACTAGTGTGGCCGTCGGTATGCTGCGCTGAACCTCTTGGCCACACACCGTGGTACCGCGCGCTACTGAGGACGAAGTTTCATAAAATCTGCGGGCCGTTTCTTACATTCTCAGTTTCTTACTTTCTTATGGTTGTATTCTATGATGTTTCACCTATCACTTCTGGGATGCTTAGGTCTTATGATGTTCCATTTTCCGAGATATTCTTCAATCTTTCTGGAGCCCATATTTCACTCGTGAAACGTCTGGCGATGGCAGCCATTTTGAATGGGACAAGAGATGACCTCAAGCTGTGACGTCGCGTTTATGCAAATTCCTTGTCGAGCGCGCGAGGGCGCGAGTTGCAAATGCGACGGCTGTTTCCTGTACCGTAGATCCTAAATAGAGATCGGTGCACGTGGCCCCCTGACGATAAATGCATGGTACAGGAAACAGCTTCGCATTTGCAACTCGCGCCCTCGCGCGCTCGACAAGCAATTTGCATAAACGCGACGTCACAGTTTGAGGTCATCTTCTTGTGCCATTCAAAATGGCTGCCATCACCAGACGTTTCACGAGTGAAATATGGGCTCCAGAAAGATTGAAGAATATCTCGGAAAATGGAACATCATTAGACCTAAGCATCCCAGAAGTGATAGGTAAAACATCATAGAATACAACCATAAGAAAGTAAGAAACTGAGAATGTAAGAAACGGCCCGCAGATTTTATGAAACTTCGTCCTCAGTAGCGCGCGGTACCACGGTGTGTGGCCAAGAGGTTCAGCGCAGCATACCGACGGCCACACTAGTGGGGCTAATCATAGGCCTAAACTAAAGCCATTTTACTCGTCACGATTTAGTTTGAACTTTCATAAATAACATGAACAGTAATGAATACGTTGAGTAAATAAAATAACACCTAAGTATTCGAAATAATGAGACAAAAAGATTCCACTTACATTTATCATGGAGGCATTTATACAAGCTTTACTTCTGCATTACCAAAAACCGACTCGGTCATGTTATATAGCGCCCTCATTGATCCCATTAGTAAGACAATGAGCGCCCTCCATCGGTCGTTAGTTACGGAGGTGATGGAGTTTCCCAAAACGTCGGCTTCATCACCAGACTCGGCTCCATCGATTGATGAATGGCTTGATGTCATAACAACAATTGTTAACTCTATCTCTACTCTAACTCTATGGTAACTCTATCCTTTTTAACCTTCGCGTGTCGCTTGATCTTCGCAACAGTGTACTGTGTTAAACACCAGCTTGACATCCCAGCAGACACCTTACACTTGACGGTCAGCTTTCACACTATTGTTATAGTCCAAAATACCAAAGGGCGGTGGTTGTTTTGTTTTGTTTTGTTTTGTTAAAAAAAATACTACATCAAAGGAGACTCCTTATACTCCGTGTTTAATATTCCGTTCTGGTATTCATATAGGACATGTAGTTAGCGCTCAGCCTTTACTTTTTAGGCATGATGTGTGCTTCAAGGTTGGGACGCGAATCTTACTTACGGAAAGTATATAGCTTGATGCTCACGTCATGCGACTCGATCGGGCATAAGAAAGGTCATGGTTTATCACAGGCAGTATACAGCCTTGAGTTTGGATGTTACTTCAAAGTTAATGATGTTTATCGTAACATCCCCGTTCATCGGATAGTACTAGACTCAGTGATCTGAAGAGCCCAACCCTGCCAAGCTTCTGGTCTTCGGTATACTGGGACAGAATTAATAAATTGGTACAATGGCAGCTTAGTTTGTATAAATTATATCCTTCGGCTCAGGTCATTATCAGCATCCAGACTCCAACCGGTCTTAAACACTTTAAAACCGGCCAAGCACACATTTATTCCCTTCATGATTAAGGGAGGGAGGAATTTAACGTGTTTTTTTTTAAGTAAAGAGCGCCAATATTTGCGACTTTTAAAAGACATCTTCATCACAGCCACCGTCGCTAAGCCGTCTTGCAACACTGACATTTCAATAGACCTCTTGCATGGTGAGCCCTCACAGAGTGCAGATTTGAATACGAACGTTCAGTGACATGACAATGAACGTGTCTAGTCTACGGCCTGTGCTTCACAAAGGAGCAAAGACCGGCAAAATTACAGAAAATAATTATGTCTGTGCCATCGTCAAGGACAATTCTGTGGGCCTATCAGATCTACAGGATTTGTGTGTCATCAGTGCATGCCGTATTATTATTGTCGGGTGTAGACGTCTGAATACCAAAGACACTTATTGAAATGCATTGTATATAGAAAAGCAGAGGAAAATATCTCAATTTATCAATGCGATAAATGCACTATTTTGTTAGCATGGCAACCAGTGTTATTATTATAATCAGTAACACAGTTGATGATTATTTTCTTTTTCAAGCTAATGAATTGTACAAATTATAATAACGGGAAAAGTATCTTTTAGGGAGACATTCCCATAGGGTTTCTGCACAATTTTTTCCAAACTGTAATGACCCCTTACCCAAATTGTCTGTTCTTTTTTTTGTATATTTATGTTTTGAAACGAAAGCAATGCTAGGGTAAAAGTTTGCCTCTAAATAGGAGTTGTGACCTTAAGGAGACATTGAAACGTCTCCTTGATATCCGGTGTCTGCCTTATAAGAATATAAACTTATGACAACAAAAAATCTCCTTAACGCTAAGCTACAAAATCATTGAGTAGCAACCTGTAGTATGCATTTCTTTCCATACGGTGTGCACAACGCATGTAGTATTCTGTAGTATTTGGTCCTTGAGCCCCAATTAATGGTACATGAACAGGAATCAACTTTATTATTGGGATTTACATTCAGCATGCATATGGATAATTGGCTTTATGAGTTGATTTATGGGCGAATGAAAAATTTAGGACTTTCTTGCCTAAAGCAATTACTTTTGCCAATTGCTGAATACGTTCTGCAGTTTATTGTGGGTACATGCCTACGTGCCGAGCTAAGCACACGCAGCTCATATTATGAAACCCTCATATGTATTTCAGTATTTCAAATTTTAAAAACGCCCGGGGTTAAACAATTTTTTGTGACTTTTTGATTAGAATGGGAAAAGGGTTTTTTCAAAAGGGAAA